TAGCTTTGCGCCTTTCCTGGAACTCACTTGGTAGCCCAGGCTGGCCTCGAACTCACAGAGATCCTCCTGGCTCTGCCTCCCGAGTGCTGGGATTAAAGGCGTGCGCCACCACCGCCCGGCGTATCTGACATCTTGTTCACATGTGGCGTCAAAGTCAATGAAGCATATCTTCGAAAGCCAGCACAATTACATTCAGTGACAGATTTGTAGATGCAAATTTGCTGTCTGTATTTAAATATTGCCATTTCCCCACACTCAAAGTACCAGAAATAGACCTGTTGCAGAATAAACCAATTTTAGGTAGTTTGCATTTTACATGAGATCCAATGCAGTTAGACGTTAAAGACAAGTGAAACGTTTTGTTTTGTTTTGGAGATAGGGCTTTGAACTCAGGCTCCTCCTACCTCAGATGCCTGAGTGCTGTGATTAAACCATCCCCGGGCCAAACAAATGAGATTCTTTGCAAGGTAGAATGAAGAGAAAAAAGGTTTGTTATTTATTTCATCAGGGTTTTTTGGAAGTCTAGTATGTGTTAGACCGTATGGAAAATACCCAAAGAGCTCTCCCCTAAGGAAGCGATGTTCCATTATACTTTAATGGAACTTTTAATAGCCAGGAAACCATTCTTTACTGTGACTAAACCATAAGAGAATTAATGATGGTAAATTGGAACCTAGTTATGACTAGACTTTCATATGATGGACAATGGGCACCACTAAAAATTTAAGCCTAGAGATTGTTTGACTGGATTTGTGATTACAAAAATAACTGATGGGAAGTAAGCCCATTGCCTCACACCTGTAATCAGCACTGGTGGTGGCGGGGAAACAGTAGAATCAGGAGTTTATAGTTAGACTTGACTACACAGGGAGTTTGAGGCCATCCTGGGCTAGATTGGACCCTGTGTCCAAAGAAACAGAAAGCAAACCAAAACGGATGGAAGCATGGATAGACTGGAGACACGCCAACACAGCGGCAAGAAATGTGAACAGCTAAGTGTAGTAGTGCAGGCCTGTGATCCCATCATCTGGGAGGCCAAGGTGAGGATCTGAAGTTCTACGCCAGTCTGGGCTGTGTAGACGATGTAGAGAGCCTTTGTCTCCAACATGAACTTTGAGGACTTTCCTCAGAGCAATGTAGGCAGTTTGAATTTGGATTCATTTTCCAAAAGCAGCTTTAACTTTTTACAAATTGTGTCAAATGAAAAAATGTTGCTTTAACTTTTCAAGATTGAAGATCTCATTGTCATAAAACCTTATTGATCTGTAGCTTAAGAAATACAACATGTCTCCTCCAGGTAAATTTAATTAGAATTTCAATATAGGATAGTTTCAAATATCTGTTAACAGATGTTTAAAGATTGTAGTACATTCATATCTACAAGTATAGTGAATGTGTTCATATAAAGAACAAGTGGGGTGGGGCAGTGGTAGTGTACACCTTTAATCCCAGCACTCAGGAGGCAGAGGCAGAGGCAGGCCAGAGTTAAAGGCCAGCCTGATCTGCTTAGTGAGTTCCAGGACAGCCAGGGTTGTTACCCAGAGGAACTATTTCAAAAAAAAGAAAGAAAGAAAAGAAAGAAAGAATGAATGAATGGGTTAGACTAACTAGTAACAGATGAATCATTTATCATAGTGAAAATAAATTATCTGCTTTGTCTAAATATTTGTTTTGTGTTTTGTATGATTTCTTTTAGTACAGAACTTGCTAAGGCCATCAGGCCTATTGATGGGAAGTCAGTCCATCAAATTTGTTCTGGGCAGGTGGTACTCAGTTTAAGCACTGCTGTGAAGGAGCTGATAGAAAACAGTGTGGATGCTGGTGCTACCAGTATTGGTAAGTCTGGAACAGTTTTAAGCAACGAGAAATAATCATTTGTGTTATTTATTTATTTAAGAAACACTCCTGAATTATTAGAAAACAAATATTGCCATACTAATAATTATTATTTTGAAGTTAGCACTTAGTTGTTGTGTGAGAGACTTTTCCTGGGGAAATGCAACACACACAGGTCCATTCACCATTGATAGGGAACTCTGACAGACCAGAGTAACAGGTGTACCTCATTCCAGCTTGGTGAATTAATGAGTATTTATTGATGTTACTGACAAATATGGATGAAGGGTGGGTTATTTACAAGATAATGAATAATTCAAAAGCAGCTGTATTACCAAAACACCTACCCCAGCTTGAGTGGTGATCCCAGGAAGCTGCATCTCAGGAACTCTGCCAGCTTTGGAGTTTCAGCTTTCCCAGACTTGTGACATTTAATGACTTCCGGAGTCTCATGAGCCCCCTCCATCCTGTAAGGAATCTTTCAAATCAGAGAAAACTGTTATACAGCAATTCCATGCCAAATATTTAGCTAGGAAATAAGAATTAAATAACACTCTGTGTAGACATTGTGCTAAAAATTTTATATGAAATGTCTTACTTAGTATGTAGACTATTATGATTTGGGAATTACTATCTCTGTTACAGAGACAGGGAAACTGAAGTACCAGGAATTTGGTTTTATTGAGGCTATAAAGCCCATAAAATATGATCTAGGAGCTCTGACTGCAGAGCCTGTTCTTATATTTTTGGTTGTGAGCCTAGCCTTACTGAGCCATCCCTCCAACCTGAGCCTCTTCTTAATGACTATATTAAAAGCATTCCTTTTGAAATAATAATAATAATAAACCAACTATTTAATCTGGGTTTACAAATAATCCAGAAGGACTTTCAAAACAAAAGCATGCAGGGCTAGGGTTGTGGCTCCACTGTAGAGTGCTTGCCTAGCATCTGTAGCGTCCTGGGCTTGATCTTCAGTACCAAATACACACATGTGCACACCCTGCAGAATGATAGCAGTATCTCTAAGTAAAAGTGTAGACATGACTGTTGAGTTTCCACTGTCAACACAAAAGCTTTTAGCATGAATCAATCATTGAGGAATAAATTTTTTATTTATTTTATTGAATTTTTTAGATATAAGGCTTAAAGACTATGGGGTGGACCTCATTGAAGTTTCAGACAATGGATGTGGGGTAGAAGAAGAAAACTTTGAAGGTCTAGGTAAGATAAATGTTCCAAATACTAAAGTAATCGTTTCCATGTGTCTCAGAAGTTTGAGTAACACTGTTTTGCACCACATATTGTGATAGATATTGTCTCTGTCCTTTGGTCTATCACTAAAGAGATTTTTGGTCTTTCTTTCCACTCTCTTTCAGCTCTGAAACATCACACTTCTAAGATACAAGAGTTTGCCGACCTGACTCAGGTTGAAACTTTTGGCTTTCGGGGGGAAGCTCTGAGCTCACTGTGTGCACTGAGGTGATGCTTATTATACTCATCAATTTGATGCTTTCTGTAAAAACTTCTGAACATTTATAAGCATGATTAGAATCATTGTTGTTTTCCCTTTACTATTGAAATATCTTGACACTAACTTCTGAATTTCTCTCATTTGACTGCCAATCTGATTAATAATATTTCTGGAATGTGAGAAATACAGGAATGAAATGAAGCAAATAGTATTGTGAAAAAGTCACTGCCTATCTTAAAACAGTTATGTACTATCTTAAAGTATCACAGAGCCCGGGGGTGTAGCTTAGCAGCAGAGTGCTTGCCTGCAATACATGATGCCTGGGGTCAACCAGTAACACTGCAAAAATAAATAAAGTAATGCATAGGTGGTAAATTATGAGTACCATCATTTTAGCTTTTCAGTTTTTAGGAAGAGATTTAATGAAAGCCCTATTTAATTACAGTGATGTTGTTATGTCTTTTGGATTCTTCGTAAAAGTTTTGTTAGTAACTAAATTGAGAAATAAAGCTTTGAGAACAGAATTTGAGTTCATCGTTTTGCAACTCAACTTAAAAAATGAAATCTTTCACAAGAACAAAGCATTTATAAAACTGTCTCACCACCCTTTGGGGCCCAATTTTAGATGTTATGGTGACTCCTTACTTAAAACCCAAATTGTCTCTGAAGAATATCACCTTTTCAAGAAAGTTCTGAGAGAAAAGAAAGCAGGCAAAGGTTTTCTGTGTCTAACCCTGTGAGTTCCTTCGGTTTCTCCACACAGACCCTTGCAATGCTAGGGATTGATCTATGAGTCTGAAGCAAGTGCTAGGCAAGTGCTCTACTTCTGAGCCACATCCCAGCCACCCTTGTGCATCTCTAACTGGACATGCCATCTGGCTTTCTCTTACAGTGATGTCACTATATCTACCTGCCATGTGTCTGCAAGCATTGGGACTCGACTGGTGTTAGATCACAATGGGAAAATCACCCAGAAAACTCCCTACCCACGACCCAAAGGAACAACAGTCAGCG